CACCTGTGACCGGCATCTTCAGAGTGCAGGAGCACAGACAGGAGCAGTTCTCTCTGTCCCCCCAGAGACCTCCAGAACACGGCCACACAGCCCGGAAAACCCACACCAGCCAAAAATTTCTGGGTTTGACTCTCTCATTAGGCTATAAAATGGGCATTTTTGGCTTAGTCTTATAGCTTAATAAACAGCTTATAGCTTAATATAAAGGTTTATTAATAGTTTATAGCTTAGCATTATGTGTAAACCAGGCCACTATAAATAAAGGGTTTATTGTAATTATAATTTAATAATGGGAGAATGGGTGTCTGTTAAAACCATATGATTTTTTGACCGGTTACCTAACCATTTCAACAAGTAGGGCACCTATCTCTGATCTTCCCACTGCCTTTCCTTCTTTCCTTCCTCTCAGCTTCCCCCTCCAGTATGGCATAATCCCACCAATTTGCCCACTACCCAATCTTCCAGTGCCTTTCCTCCCTCTCCTTAGATGGCTCTTCCTCTGCTAATGTCTCAGCAAGAATTTTCCTTTTCAACAGTCTTTGTCTGTTAAATCCAGTCTACTGATCCAAGGGGGATTACTGTGTACATATGATACTGGATTACTGTATAATTATATAGTATGATTTTTTAAAATGATGGATTAAAAGTGTAAAAAACAGGTTTAGTAATAAAATTTATGTAATCTGACATATATGTTATGAATTATCCTATTTCTGTGCTAAATAAATAAATAAATAGAATCCAATGATGAAATATTTAACTGAAATTGTGTTAAAATTTATGTCTAACTACTTTAGTGCTAATAACCACAAAGAACTATTAGAAGTTCGCGAAGCATTGGAGCAGGTACATAAAGTAGAAGATCTTCTTCCAATTATGAAGGTATTTTTCCCTTTAACCTGTTAACCTGTGTTTGTTAATATTAGAGATAAGGTCATTCAAGCAAAATAGCGTAGAAATGAAAAATAAAAACTCACCCATAACGTTATAATTAAATTACCATATTATCCCATATAGGCTGTATTTTGAACTTGGTTTGCTTTGTAACAGCAGAGGGGAAGAAGATGCAAGTATCTCATCTTCCTATAAAAGTAATGTAAAGGTGCCAGATTTTGAGGCAAGGTCTTGCAAATCATGTTATGGAGAGTTGTGTTGCCATATGTTTCTGGGATTATATTGGAAATAAAATTAGAAGCACATAGATATTATCAAGCCATTTTTTCCTGTGTCCTCTAGAATGAATTTAAATTGGATGACACAATTCATAGCACCATGTGACTTAGTATTTGTAATCTGTTTTCAACTTGTATATCATTAATGTTAGCTGCTTTGACTGCTGTCTTTTGGCTTTATACTAAACAAGAAACGTAATAACTATATTACAAATAAAGCTGTTTAACAAATACATCATAAGTTTCTCAAAATGGAAGACAATTACACTCTTGGTAGAAAGAAACCACTTTTTCCCCCCTTCCAAAAGCTACACTCCCTGGGAGCTGCAGATCTGCAAAAGTGGTGGAAGGGCCAGAAGGTGGGGTTCGAGCCAAAACTGGGTGGGTTCATTTATTTTCTCTTCTTTCTACTCCTCCTTATTCTCTTCTTGCTCTGCAAATTTAGGGAGACTTCAGTGTCTCTTGCTAGAAGTCAGTTACTTGCAGGGTGTCTTTAAATGAGGTTTATAGCCATAACCACATCTTGCCTAGGATGATTCTAGTCCTAACGTGGTAAACTTTTTGCTCTTTTAAAGAGCTCTGGGAATAGGAAGCGAACATTTTCTAGCACTGAGAGGATGCACCAGCTAGATATAACCCTGATTCAGGCCTCTTACAAGGAAATAAATCCTGTCCTTTTGGGATTGTTGTAATTTACATTGTGTAGCATAACAACATTTCAGCCTGTTTTGAACATTTCTCTTGGCGTTTTTTTTGAAAGCAGCTTAATAGTAAAACAAGAGATGGTTTTACCATCCACACCAAAGTCCCAAGCCTCAAAAATCCAGGAAAGGAGTATGATGGATTTACTATTACTATAACAGGAGACAGGTAAGTTATGTCTTTCTTTTATGTTACGACATACCAATCTTCAGTGTAACTAACGTCAATAAATTGAAGCCTGAGTTTCAGAGACTAGAGAGGTTTCAAAGATACTAAAATATTTTGTTATTTATCTGCAAAGCTGGATTTTCTGAACTTTAATTACTTTACAACCATGTACGTTTTAGCATTTTATCCAAGTCTGACATTGTCAGGAGGTCACTATCCATTCAGGAAGCTTCTCATTTATGCATGAGAATTGTGTAGACTGGATATTATCTACAGTTGTTTTTACCATTCAAGAAATGCACTTGTAGAGTTTTTTTATATTATCTAGTGTATGTTCATCAGTATATACAGTGGTACCTCGGTTCATGAACGCTTCTGTTCACGACCAATTCGGGTCACGAACAGCTCCGTTCGCAAAATTTTGCTTCCGTTCGCAAACGCTGGATCAGGTGACAAACAGGATCCGCGGCCATTTTCCCTCCCGTGACACGTGGTCGTGGGTTCCTGTAGGGAGGGGGACTCTCCCTCCAGGCAAAAACCGCCTCCCCACCCACCTTCCTGTCCTCCACGCCAGAAGTCACGTCGAGCAAGGTTAGCGTTCTCTCTCTTCGTACTGTATTTTGTGTCATATTTTTGCGGTTTAAAAAAAAACAACATATG